TATTATTTTATGTGCATAAAAGTACTATTAATATAATGGATATCAATTGGATATGATAATAAGTGTACGAGGCATATTATAAGTGATNCTTCAATCCGTTTGTCATTTGGACATTCCTATACGAAGTTATGATCAAATTACCAAAGGCTGGCGGAGGAGACTGCGGATGCGAAGCATCCGAGGCCGCGTCCGAAAGAAAGAATGGCAGTGAAGTGCTGCCATAGCATCAAGGTCCGCATCCGAACGTCAAAGAGGAGTGAAGTGGGGATGCAAAGCATCCAGGGCAGCATTCGAAACCCATAAATCTGGGCCTATAAATACAATACAATTTCGGGGTTCATTTTCTCCATTTCATTTGGACGAATTTTGGAGCTCTTCTCCACTCTCTCAAGACCACCAACTCCCCTCTTCTTCAAGGTAAGCAATCTCCATTATTTTGGTGTGAAATTCCATCATTTCTACACTAGTATCGATGAATCTACACATAAAATACATAGATCTTCAAGAAATTTCTTCAAGAACTCAAAGGAGGATTTTGCAAGATTTCTTCCAAAAGGTAATCCTAGACCCTTAGACGTACATGTATGGATATATTATGGGAATATGAGTATGAATTAAGTATAGGAACTCATGGTATGCTGATTGGAAGCCATAAGTTCCCAATTTAAATACATAACCATGGTAGAGATTGAAAGGTGATTATTTGATGGAATTTTGTTGGTTGGGTGAGAATGGTTGGTCACACATGTGATGTTAGGATTATAAGTTGTTAAAGAATGATGGTGGGATGAATTGTTGGTAAATGATGGTAGTTGGTAGAACCTAATTCTATGGTTAAGAAATGTATAAATGTATGTCCACTAGGTGTTTGGTAAATTGTCTAAATGGCCTAAACTATGGAATGGGTTATTAATGTTGGTCCCAATGGATGTTGATATTGTAGATTGAAGTTTCTTAGTATAGTAGATCATTGTAGTATCATTAAGGGGTGAATTTCAGTTTCAGATCGTTGGCAATGAATTGAGGAGACAAGAAGGCATTCAGAGGTGGATACGCGCGGAATGGAATTTCCTGAGTATTGATTAACTTGCTCGACGTTGGGTTCATCTTGTTGAGGTAAGTAACTCTTCTAATCTTGGAGCTGAGGGTATAAGCCCCGGATTATGTGTTATGTGATTGGTTTTGAGGTGACGTGCATGCTAGTTAACGGGCGTGTGGGCGTGCACTGTAGGAATTGTGACTTGGTCAAATTCCATGAAACTATGTAGTTGAATAATCTGTTGATACCAGTACATTCGCTATGTGTTAGAGAAAAATTGAGCTGAGACTCGTATTAAAAATCATGCTTAGACATATGTGGTTATTATTGGTACCCACTGGGGTCATTTCTGTGGTTGAATTATATGTTCAAATTGTAATTTCACACTTAGTCATGTTCATTCATATCATATCATATCTCAGTCTCTATTGCTATTTATTGATTCATAATACCATCATTTTGGGATGATTTTCATGACATTGTGAGCCCGAGAGACTAGAGATATTAATGACTGAGTGAGGCCAAGGGCATGATTGTGAGGATGATTATGGGATCGGGTTGCACGCCGCAGCAGGCCATATTGGCTTTATATATATTATTATTTATGGGATCAGGCTGCACGCCGCAGCATGGTTGACTGATTTATGCCATGATTGGCTTGTTATAGAGCTTGGGCTGAAGGAGCCCCTCCGGAGTCTGTACACACTCCCAGTGAGCGCAGGTACCTACTGAGTGCGAGTGCCGAGTGCGTATGCCGAGTGCGAGTGCCGAGCGCGAGTGTCGAGTGATTTGGGAGGATTGATGACTGTGAGGCATGAGTGACTATGAGGATTGAGTGATTGGGAGGACTGAGTAACTAAGAGGATTGAGTGATTGGGAGGACTGAGTGAATTGATACTCTTTGAGTATGCATATGGTTTTATTACTATGTTGTATTGCATTGGCATGCACATTGACATGTAGGCATAGAGATGTACTTTCCTCATACCATTTGAAAATAAAATTTCCTATTGTGGAAGAAAGTTTTTGGAAAAAATCACAGTTTTTAGACTTACTCATATTTTGGTGATTTCAGTGAAAAGAATTGAGTTTTACTGTTATACTTGAAAAGAAAATATATTTTTTCCGGAACTGTGAACGAGCTGAGCATCTTATTATTGAGTTATTCTTTGTGTTGCCTCAATTTTATTGTTATGAGATGTTATTGGATATGGGTGAGGATTCTGACCTTGGTATAAGCTCGTCACTACTTTCAACCTAAAGTTAGGTTTGTTACTTATTGAGTACATGGGGTCGGTTGCACCATACTATACTTCTGCACCTTGCGTGCAGATATTAGATGTTGATGTTGCTGTGATCGACGGGAGCTGGATTTGAAGATGTACCTGTGTTTCGGTCGTAGCTGTCTCTTGTTCATGGTAGCCTTAGATTTATAAAAATCTGCTTATGTATATTTCGAACAGATGATGTATTTATTTCATACCAACTTTGTAAATTCTAATCTTAGAAGCTCGTGATTTGTACTACCAGTCCTTAGGGAGTGTACTATAGTCAGTTAAATATTAATTGAATCGTATTGTTGTTATTTGGCTTACCTAGCAGGTGAGGTTAGGTGCCATCACGGCTAGTCAGATTTTGGGTCGTGATAGTAATCCTACACCCTTAGACTTACATGTATGGATATCTTATGGGAATATGAGTATGAACTAGGTATTTAAACTAATGGTATAGTGATTAGAAGCCATAAGTTCCCAATTTAAATACTTAACCATTGTAGAGATTGAAAGGTGATTATTTGATAGAATTTAGTTGGTTGGGTGTGGATGGATGGTCATGTATATGATATCGGAAATTATGAATTGTTTAAGAATGATGGTGGGATAAATTATTGATAAATGGTAGTAGTTGGAGGAACTAATTCTATGGTTAAGAGATGTAGAGATTCATGCCTACTAGGTGTTTGATAAAATGCCTAAATGACCAAATCTGAAAATTTGTTTACTAATATTGGTCCTATTGAATTATGTTGATATAGATTGAAGTTGTGAGAGTAGTGGAAGTTTTTAACATCACTAAAGAGTTGAATTAAGAAAGCTCGAAAACGTCAGAGGCTCTATAAACGGGGTTTTTGGCCATTTTTGGCATAAAAATAGTTGGGGAGCTCGGTTTGGGCAATTTTCAGAGGCAAACTTTACAAATTGGACTGGGTTAAGTGATCTTAACTTGATTTGGTCCGTTATTCATGAATCTAACATTATTTTTAGCACTTATTTAATGATTTGGGGGATTAGAATAGAAATTTTCCAAAAATTGATTTGAAGGTTTGAAGGCCGAATTGGAGTCGGAATTTAGTAATTTTTGTATGGTTGGACTCGTGGTTAAATGTGCGTTCATATTTTTTAACTTTTGTCGGGTTCCGAGACGTGGTCCCCATTGTTGATTTTTGAGTTAATTTCGAATTTATTTGTGAAATTTAGCATTTTCATATGGAATTGATTCCTATACCTCGTATTGATTGTATCGAATTATTTTGACTAAGATTCGAGGCATTTGGAGGCCGAATCGCGAGGAAAAGGCTTATTGGAATAAAGAATTTCTCGGATTAAGGTAAGTAACAGTTCTAAATTTGGTCCTCAGGGTATGAAACCCTAGATTATGTGTTATGTGATTGGTTTTGAGGTGACGCACATGCTAGGTGACGGGCGTGTGGGCGTGCACCATAGGAATTGTGACTTGGTCAAATTCCATGGAGCTGTATAGTTGAATAATCTGTTGATATCCGTACATTCTCTACGTATTAGAGAAAATTGAGCTGAGACTCGTATTAAAAATCATGCTTAGACATATGTTGTTATTGTTGGTACCCATTGGGGTCATTTTCTATGGTTGAATTATATGTTCAAATTGTAATTTCACACTCAGTCATGTTCATTCATTTTATATCATATCTCAGTCTCTGTTGTTATTTATTGATACATCATATTATCATTTTTAGGCTGATTTTCATGACATCTTGAGCCCGAGAGACTGGAGAGGTTGATGACTGAGTAAGGCCGAGGGCCTAATTGTGAGGATTTTTATGGGATCGGGCTGCATGCCGCAGCATGTTTCATTAATTTATGCCATGATTGGCTTGTTATAGCGCTTAGGCTGAAGGAGCCCCTCCGGAGTCTGTACACACCTCCAGTGAACGCAGGTACCTACTGAGTGCGAGTGCCGAGTGCTGAGTGATTAAGAGGAATGAGTGACTGGGAGGAATGAGTGACTGGGAGAAAAGAGTGATTGTGAGGTTGGAGTGAATGGGAGGACTGAGTGACTGTTACTCTGAGAGGATGCATTGATTTCATTATTGCTACACTTCAGCTGTCATATATCATTATTTTGGAAAACTTTGAAAGATATTCTTTCTGTTTCAATATAAATTTGATATGAAATTGTTGTGGAGTTTTAAATGTTGAACTTGAAAGCATGCTTACCTTTTTATGTTGGAAAGTACTGTATTTGGACTTAGCTGTGAAGCTTGTCACTACTTTCAGTTCTTTATTTATTATTGTTACTTATTGAGTTGGTTGTACTCATACTACACCCTGCACTTCGTGTGCAGATCCAGGTGATTCCGGACATAGTGGGTGTTGATTCTTTCGCACTGTTGATTTTTCGGAGATTCAGAGGTAGCTGCCGTGTTTCGCAGACCTTGTCTCTCATTCCCTATCTCTTGTTTACTGTATTTGGTCTTAGACTATTATAAACCGTGTTTTCCAGGCTTGTAATGTATAGATGTTCATGTACTCAGTGACACCTGGTTTTGGGAATATATTTTACCTAGTATTTGTGGAATTTTCTATTAAACTTAATTATGATATTTTCCGTATTTAAAAGATATTGTGGGTTATTGATGATGTCGGCTTGCCTAGTATTGAGATAGGCGACATCACGACGGGTGATATTTCGGGTGGTGACAATGGGATTTTCGAGGGAAAGTCCGTCGAAAATGTTTCCAGCAAGCCAATTTCCATCGGAAATTCGCGTATTTTAATAGTGATCTAAGTTAAACTCATAAAGTTTTAAAACGCAGTGGGTAATGCATGATTGGGGAGACGAAGATTGTGTTAAGATCTTGACGAACTGTAGAAAGGCGATACCGGAGAAAACTGGAAAAGTGATCATAGTTGATGCAGTGTTGAAGTCGGAGGGTGAGGGTTTATTCGACGACATGGGATTTATACTTGATTTGCTTATGATAGCGCACAGCAGTGGTGGGAAAGAAAGGAGTGAAAATGAATGGAAAATATTGTTAAAAGAAGCTGGATTTCCAGTTTTCCACGTTATAATATTATTGAGATTCCTGCTTGGCCTTCTAGTATTGAAGCCTATGCACAGTGATTTATAGCAATCACATGAGAAGTTTAGATTTGCTGCCAAGATATATGCAGTTTTCTTTAAATAATTGGAATGCACCTTTTCCTTTGTATTAGAAGTATAAAATATAGATACCTCGGCAGCAGATGTCACATGATTGTAAGGATTGCTTGCTTTCTCTACTAGATATAAGTAGTATGTGATCATCTATGACTTCTCTAAAAGACAAGAAAAAGAAATGAATTGACCCCTTTATTCAAATTGGATTTTCTGGTGGAAAAGCATTAGGAGTATTCACCTTCGATATTTTACACAACTAATATATATATATATATGTTTTTTATATTTTGTATCACTTAACCATGATTAATCACTCACTCTTTGTTTAACTAGATTTATACGTCATAGTTTTAATACATATTATTAAGTGGCACGTGATGAAATGCAACAGAAAGTATAGTAGGTATTCTTACGTCAATATTTTACTACGTCGTCATGATAAATTAATGTAGTTTGGTATAAAAATCAGACGTCATAAGTTTTTTTTTAAGATAAGAAACTTGAACCTTAAACAAATCGTCTATTCAATTTTGCTAAAGATAATTTAGTTCGTTCTTTTCTCTTTGATCTAAAGAAGTTAGGTCTGTACTTCAACCTCATCATCATTTTAAATTGTTTCAAACGAATATCATTATGAAAAGGGAAAAAGCTCATTATTGATACGCTTATTCTCCGTTTTGCTTTACGTTAAAAATCAACCCTATTGTTAACAAAGTAAGTGGAGCTTCCCCCAACCCTAATGGATGGCCAATGTGACATGTGACCCATTCTATTTTTTCCATGTCAGCTGCCAAGTCACTTATTTACTCAATAAAAAAATTAAAACATATCCCCCCCAACCCCACCCCTTCCGGGCACCCTACTTCTTCTTCCATGAGTTCTTCATCTTTACTTCAAATTTTTCAATCCAAACTAAACCAGGTTTTTCATCAAACTAATTCAAGTTGCAACCATTACTTCTCAACATTAATTTCTCAACAAATTTCAGCTAACACTTCGCTTAAACTTCAACAAATTAGAATACGCATTTTATGTTCTCAAGTATTCTTATAAATCCTTCAATGGTGATTTTTTTTTTTTCCAAATCTATAAACATCAGTGTTATTCTTCTCGTTTCAAGCTCCAATTTTTTTTTCACTCGATTTCAGTGGGAAACAAGCAAGAATTTCAGATTCTTGAGTCTTTTTTCAACTTCAAATTTCGGCAACCCACGAAATTAATGTTTGATTCACGATTTTAAGCTCCAAAAAACAATACCCAGCTGATTTCCTCCATATATAATCAACAAATCGAATTGTCAACTTTAATTTTTCGACACCCAAAGAACACATCATAGTGGGTTCGAGATTCTCACCACTGAATTTTCAAACTTGAAGCAGATATGAGTGATAGCACTAGTGAATCCAAATAACTTCATAAAGGGTCACACCAAATCATGGGCCAGAGACGGAAAAACAATGAAAGTGTGAACGACACCAATTCATGGTCAATCACAAGCAATCGACGAAGCAAACCAATTTCACAACAGAAAAATTAACGCAGCAGGCTAACGAGCGATGTCCAAAATAACAGGTTCGGCGAAAACTTAGCAGTTACCGGAGTTCGTGTATTCCGGCCAGATTAAGAGAAAAGAAAGGCCACCAAATGACATATCGGTCACATCCGTTCAGATCCTGACCTTCAACGAGATGGAGTTTTCCACTGATAGAGGTTCCACCGTTTCGGTCGCTACTTTCGTCGTAACTCAGGAGAAAGAAAGATAAGGGGAATATTTGAGTGGAGACTAGACTAAGAATTAATGGAAAGCTGACTTGGATCCTAGGTGGCAAACATTTTGCGGGGTCAGGTGACACGTTGGCCATCTGTTAGGGTTAAGATTAGTTTCACTTAGTTTGTTAACGGTAGGATGAGTTTTGGATGTAAAGTGAAACGGAGGACAAACTATACTGTACTATTTACAATAGTACAGGGCAATAATGAACTTTTTCCCTCGTGAAAACTAAACTTATGATGTTGACACATTCTAAAAGCCCCAAAATTTTCTTATTTAAACAATGCTCCCCATCCTCCCCCCTCGCCTCCTTTCCCTCAAATCTTCTCTGTAAATTTTCACGATAAAAACAAAAACAGTTCATAGAAAATCTGAATAGTGGTGTGTGAGGTTCTTTCTAAAATTTAAATATTTTAATGTTTAACTCCAAAATTTTATTGCGTTCGAAATATATAGAGAGGCAGCGATCAGTGATTTCAAAATGACACCTAGTAGGGTATTAAAAAGACATGTTAAATAAGTGTCTAAACTTCTGTGTTTGTTTCGTTGTGCACTTAAGAAAAGTTGTGAAAAAATTAAAAAAAAATTCCACAAACTTTCCATAGAGCTGAATAATAGGTCAATGATTAAACAAATCCTATGAGTTTTCCTAATTTCTTCAAAATGAATTTCTAAAAATCTCTCCAAGGATATTTTTTTTATAAGGAACTGCTTAAACGTTTTTTTAAAAAAAAAAGAAGATATAGATAATGGGCCGAATTAGGGTCCACCATGGAAATGAAAAGGGAAAAGTTGTTGTGGCACCCTATTTGGTCGCCCCCATTTAACCTGTATCCACTTTTTAATTATTTTTTATCTTGTACCCACTGTTTGAACAACTCCAGGCCTTTTTCTCCTTCTTCTTCTTCTTCTTTTTCTTCTCCTTCTTCTTCTTCTTATGCTGATAATAGTGATTTTATATGGTGTTTGTGAACATATTTTAAGGTAGTTTATGATGTTTTATAGTGGTGAGCTGTTGTAGCGCTTTATTTTTTACTATTGTTTAGGGTTTCTTCTTCTTTTTTTTTCCTTAAGCAAAATGGGTTCGTTAGATTTATTATTGTTTTGACAAATTGATGGTTGGGGTTTGTTCCTGATGATATTTGGAGGTTATGTTTCAAATTTGAGCTCATTTAGAGTAGATTTTGTAACGATCCGACCGGTCGTTTTGAGTATTTGCACTCTGCTCGGTAGTTTGAGGGCATGAGTAGCTCCGTATGATGTATTATGACTTGTGTGAATCGTCGGTTTTGATTTTCATGTTATTCGAAATTTATTTGGAAGAATGAATTTCATGATTGAAACTTTAGAGTTGGAAGAATTGACCGAATTTGACTTTTATAAATCTGAACATGGAATAGAGTTTTGATGGTTTCGTTAGGTCCGGTGGTGATTTTGGACTCGGGCGTATTCCTGGATTTGCATTTGGATACTTCTAGAAGGTTTCAGCGCTAATTGGCGAAAGTTGGAAATTTGAAGGATTGAAAAGTTCATAAGTTTGACCAAGAGTTGACTTTAAGGATATCGGATTCAGATTGAGGTTTCGGGAATTGAAATAGCTTCGTTATATCATTTGGGACTTGTGTGCAAAATTTGAGTTCATTACGGGTTGATTTGATATATTTCGGCGCGAGTTTTGAAAGTTCAAAGTTCATTTGAGTTCGAATTGAGGTGCGGTTCATCGTTTCGATATTGTTATGTGTGATTTGAGGCCTCGAGTAGGTCTATATTATATCACGAAACTTATTGGTATATTCGGACGAGGTCCCGAGTAGCTCGGATGGGTTTCGGACGGGGTTCGGGTCATTTGGAGCCTAGTTGAAGTAGCTGGAATTTTTGGTTGCTGGTGTCTTCGCACATGTGCATGAGGGACCGCATGTGCATGCTCGCGGAAGCGTGAAGCTGGTCGTAGAAGTGACCTGGGGAAGAGTAGCTAAGGAGGCATCGCATAAGCAGCCACTGGTGGCCAAGGCTGTCTCGCAGATGCGTGACCTTGTTCCGCAGAAGCGAAGGTCGCAGGTGCGACCTATTGTCCGCAAATGCGGAAACGCTGGGCAGAATGCTTTAAGTTCGAGGGTTGGCCATTTTTATCATATATTGAGCTATAGACTTCAGAATTGGACGATTTTTGAAGTAATTTTTTACCATATGGATTGAGGTAAGTGTTCTCTACTCACTTTTGCTTATATTTCATGAATCTATCTTCGATTTTATCATTTGGATTATGCATTTGTAAAGAGAAATTGGGGGTTTTAGCCTAAAGTTTCATAGAGTGAGTTTTTGAGTTTTGAACATCGATTCGGAGTCGAATTTGGGAAAAACTAGTATGGTTGGACTAGTAATTGAATGGGTTATCAGATTTTATAAGTTTCGTCGGGTTCAAAGGCGGGGGCCCGGGTTTGACGTTTTGGTCGATTTTGGGCTTTTGATTAAGGATTCGACCTTTATCATTTGGAATTATTTCCTTAGGCAGTATTTGATGTATTTGAGTTGCTTTTGGCTAGTTTCGAGCCGTTCGGAGGTCGGTACGTACGGGATGGAATTTTTGGAGCATCGTGTGGCTTGCTCGGTATTGGATTTGGCTTGTTCGAGGTAAGTAACACTTTTAAACTTGGTGCTGAGGATATAAAATCCTGAATTACGTGCTATGCGATTGATGTTGAGGTAACGCGCATGTTAGGTGACGAGCGTGTGGGCGTGCACAGTGTGAATTGTGATTTAGTCAATTCTGTGGAACTGCATAGTTGAATAATCTTGTTGTTATCCGTATATTCCCCATGTGTTAGAGAAATTGAGCTGCAAGTCATGTTAGAAATCATGCTTAGGCTATATGTTGGTACTGTTAGGATCCACAAAGGTCACATTACATGTTGAATTATTTGCTTAATTTGAAATCACGCACTCAGTCACAACTATTAATTTCATATCATATCTCAATTTCTGTTGTCATTTATTTATACATTATATCATCATTGTCTGGGTGATTATCATGATTCTTGTGAGCCCGAAAGACTGGAGAGATTGATGACTGAGTGAGGCCGAGGGCCTGATTGAGAGGATATTTATGGGATCGGGTTGCATACCGTAGTATGTTTATCTGAATTCATGTCATGATTGGTTTATTATAGCGCTTGGGCTCGAACTGCCCTTCCGGAGTCTTCACATCCATAGTGGGCGCATGTACCTATTGAGTGCGAGCGCGAGTGCCGAGTGTGAATACCTAATTTTTTGCACTATTTTAACACCTCCTAAAGTCATTAGTATTTTGTTACTTTAATTATCTTTCTCAATTTTTGTGTCTTTGATTGCATATTTCATATCATAAAAATACCAAAAATAGTTCTTTCTTCATTTGTGTATTTTAGGAATTAACTAACTATTCAATTGGTGAATTAATTTAGTTAATTGATCATTTAAATAAGTTAGTTAATTAATTAATTTATTTGTGTAAATTTAGTTTAATAAGTATGATTAAGGGAAATAGGCCCAAATTGAAATGATTTAAGTGGCCGAAAGTGCAATGGCCAATCCATAAAGGGACTGCCAGGCGTAGATAACGAAACGGCGTAGTTTCGGACCTAAACTACGTCGTTTTGATAAGTAAAGGTGGGATCAAATCTCATCCCTACATTTTGATTGATCCAATGGTCCTGATTCAATTTCCCATTTTGTATATAACACCAAAAATCAGATTTTTTGGCCTCACCCAACCCAAACCCTAATCTCCTCTCCTCTCTCTCTCTCTCCACTCCTCTCTGCTGCCGCGGAAGTCGCCACCGACGGCGTCCAACCTCCAAACAGCCCCAAAATTTCACCATGTAACCTCCAAAACCTCCTCTTTTCATATCTTCAAACTAAATCCTTCGAAAACCCCTCAAACTCTACGAATTTCAGATCTAGGAAACCCTAGCAGCCACCCTTTTGCTCAAATTCGTGAAGCTCCGGTCACCTTCGCCCCATTACACATACATGAACGGATTTAGCTCCACGATACCTACCATTTCCCCTTGCTCTTCACCAAAACGCCATCCGAATCCCGGTGACCACCGCCCGCCGCCACCACTGCCGCTGCTCACTTTTCTTTTCCTTCTTATTTTCTTCTTCCCTTCTGCCCCTCTTGCCTAGACACAACTCAAGCGAGCTTTTCACGCTCGCACGATACCGAGATAGAAACTCGTTCTCCGGACCTTTAGTTTTGGTATCTGCCAATATGAAAAGTTTGCTTCGTGGTCGATTTGTCGTTGCCCGTTATCCCCGACACATCCTCGCTGCTCGAGTTAGCATCGAATCCCCTATTTTGGTAAATTCCATTTTTCCCTTTTCCATTTCTGTTTTTTGCTTCCGTAATTAGGTTTGGTTTGGTTTAGTTTTTTATTTCTTATTAGTAGCTAATCTATTGCTCATTTCGATTGTTATTATAGTTCTTAGTTTAAGTCATAGTTGTTTAATAAAATAGTTAGTTTGTATGTGATATGCTAAGCACATGGTTTCAATTAGTTAGTTTGGATAATATACTTGTTTTTATTTGATTCTGAGTTTCTCTTAGTTGATTTATAGTTCAATTTCTAAGTCTAGTTATGTGTTTTTCTATCTTAGTTTGGTTTGAATCACATAGGTTGGTACTAATATTGTAAAAGCTGAAGTTTAGATTATTTTATTATAAAATAGGGTACTAGTAGCCTACGTTTTACTAGTTGGGTGGCTGAAATTATATTTTTTCTCCTTGCTTCTGCGATAGCAGATTTTTAGGTTGTCCTTTCACCTTTTGGACAGCCTTTGAACAATGTTTAGCACACAAAGTCAGCCCTTTTGGACAGGCTTTTGGTGAACAAAAATCTGTCCAAAAAGTGACTTTATTTGCCTATTTAAGGGGATGCTCTTTCCTCACTTCAGAAACTGGAATGACTCCAACTGAAAACACAAAAAACTTGAGAGAAAAAGATGGCTGAACATATAACAACAAAGCTAAAGAACAGAGAGTTTCTTTGGAGGGATAAACTTTGAGAGCAAAAATCCTCTAAAAAATTGAGAGTCTTTCAAGGTTCTTTGGTTTTCTTTTGAGATTCTTGTCTATTCAACTGTGGCTGGTTTATTCCTGGGTCATTATCGAGGTTTCAGGTTGTTGAGTTGTTGTTCGTTCTTGCTGGGAGTGCTGTTCATTTTTCCTTTTCAAGCAAGTTTTTTCACTGCTTCCAGTTTCTGCATTTAGGTACTCTTCTTATTTTTCTTTCTTAATGTAATTTGATTTGGCTTGGAATGAAGGCATGAAGGTGTTGATGTGCTATAACTGTGTCATTACGTTGTGTGATTTCTGCCCACAAGAGGAGTGAATAAATGTTTAACTTCACGGGCTAGAGTTCCACTCGTTATTTTAGATTATCGAACTGTCGTGATCCATTCTTAGTGGTTATAATACATGAATGATTTGAGTTATTGTAGTATGTGACGAAAGAAGTAGAAAAATATAGTTTTAAGTTCATACCTGTCAATTTTTAGTGTAGTTGCAACAGTCCCTATTAAGAAAAAGAATTAGTTTTACTTCACTAAAAGTTCTTGTAATAATCTGTCACATTGAAGTTTACTTAAATATTTCCTTCACGTATTGTCATTGTCCTTTGCTGAGATTCATAGCTACATGATTTCATGGAAGTTGGTGATACATTCTAATACAATCCTTGTTTAGCTTTTTTCTACTTTAAATTTCTTTAATATGATTAATATAAAACTGTTGCATTTTTATGCAATTTTCATTCATGAGATTCTCCAGTTCGTATAATGTTCAGAAGCATAGGAAATATTATTTGGCTAATTGTTTGCTCACTAAGAAAATCATAAATTAATCTTGAAAGGAAGGATGAAGTAACAATTGGGTAACGGTTGGGTTCTGACGATTTGGATAGCTTTGAGATAAGTAAATGTACTAATTGAAATTAAATGGGGTTGGACTTTTCAACGTTTTCATTGGTACTTCATAAGAAAATATCATATTTTGAATTAAGAATTTAATAGCGTAATTAATTTAAACGCTAGGCAATTAGTAGGCGCGCTTTAACTTTTTCATTCACGAACTCGCTTGAATTAATTTGATTGATGTTTTTTCCATAAAATTAATTCAATAATCTCATCACCTATTCAAAATTAATTTGATGAATCTCAAAATTAATTTTTTCACATGTAGTAATTAGTGTTTTAAAAGGTGTGGGCGTAAGGCGGAGCGTTTTACACATGCCTCAGCGGGGCGTAAGCCTTATAGATATTTAATTTTTAATATTTTATAAAATAATATTAATGGCAATTACTATTTATAAACAGGTAAAATTGCATAAAAATTGAAGAAAACTATATAAATGTGTGCTCCATCCCCACAAAAAACTAATCAAAACAATCTATTATACGTTACTTACAAGCACAAGTAATTTGAGTCTAAAAGAATAAAGTTTTCTATATGGAGGAACAAAAATGATGATTAACCTGCAATTTAAACTTTGAATTTGCTGCTATGAAGAAAAATGTAGTTCTCTTTGTATTTGTAAAAAAAATTAAATATTCGTTGCTTTTGGGAGATATTAGCAGACTAGCGGACAAGATAAAAATTTGAAAAAATCATGAATTAGGGCTTAAATCAATAAAAAAGGTCTTTACTTTTAAATTTAATACTTTTGAGTTCCTTTTTAAACCTTTTGAGTAATTACCAAACTCAATTTTGAGAATTTGGGTATTATATGAAGGACTAATTCAAAAAAAATTATTTTAATTTGAAAAAGTCTCTGGGGCTTACTCCTTACTAAAAAACGTGCCACGAACGCCCGGGTGTACGCCCCAAACGTCTGGGCGTACGCCCCAAATTGCGGGGCGTATGCCTCTTGAGACTTTCGCCCCACACCATCGCCCCGGGGCTCGCCCCAAAAATGCCTTTTAAAACAGAGTTAATTTTCCCCAAAAGTAATAACTTGTCATGACTGCGGACTCACTTGCGTAGCGCTGTTATGACAAAAAATTAATAAATCTCGTCTCGATCACGTATTTGCTTGCGTAGTGTGGTTACGACATCTTATTATTCAAACATCCGTTAATAATTTTAATAATCAAGTAATAAAAGCGGACATAGAAAAAAATATGAAAATCATATAAAACACATTTTGTCCAAAATTAATTTAAGCCAAATGTAGTCAATAAAGCAACTGTGCTAGAACCACGGGACTCGGGGAATTCCTTATACCTTCTCCCCGGTCAACAGAATTCCTTACCCGGACTTTATTTTTGCAGACCAATAATAATAGAGTCAAACCTTCCTTTGACTAGGGATTCAAATAAAAGGTGACTTGGAACACCCAAAAATTCAATTCCAAATGGCGACTCTGTAAATAAAATAATCCCAGCTCAAATTTGTCACTTTAATTGAAAAAATTCTTTAACCCACAACAATCCATAACTCATTATATCTTTTTGGGGTTGAAATAGGGTGTGACACCGAGCGATTGGGAGGATTGAATGACTGTGAGTACTGAGTGATTGGGAGGACTGAGTGACTAGGAGAACTGAGTGGATTGATACTCTGATAGTATGTATATGGTTGTTAACTATGTTGTATTGCATTCGACATGCACACTTGGCATAAAGGCATAGAGATGTATTTTTCTCATGATGTGCGGTATCACGTCATTCATGACTTCTCATACACATTGACATGTAGGCATAGAGATGTACTTTACTCATGCCATTTGATAATGAAACGTTTACCTGTTGAAAGGTTTTTGAAAGAAAATCACAGTTTTACAAACTTATTCATATTTTGGTGCTTTCGGTAAACGATTTGGGTTTTACTGTTTTATTTGAAAAACATGCATATTTTTCCATAACTGTGAAGAGTTGAGCATCATACCTCTAGGTTATTTTCTGGCACTATTGTTATTATGATTGCTATGAATTGTTGCTGGTTATTGGAGTCGGACTCTGAACCTTGCCCCAACTCGTCACTACTTTCAATCTAAGGTTAGGTTTGTTACTTATTGAGTACATGGGGTCAGTTGTACTCATACTACACTTCTGTACCTTGCGTGCAGATGTTGGATGCTGATGTTGCTGCGTACGGCGGGAGCTGGATTTGAAGATGTACCCGCGTTCCAGTTATGACTATCACTTGTCCTTGGTAGCATTAGATTCGAATTCTGTTCTTTTACATTTCAAACAGATGTTGTAATTATTTTAATTCAGTTTTGTAAAGAAATCTAAATCTTAGACGCTCATGATTTGTACTACCAGTCCTTGAAAAATTCTTTGTATAATAGTTCAGTTGTATTATCATTCTTCTCTTAATAAATATCATTTGAACTGGTTTATTATTAGTTGGCTTACTTAACGGGTTGGGTTAGGTGCCATCACGACTATTTAGATTCTGGGTCGTGATAGATTTAGGTATTAAATCGTATATTAGATTGTTAAAATTAGAAGAATAAATTTTTGTTTCTGGGCAATTTGAACTTCAGGCCTATTTGACCTTAAGTGCATGAAAACGTTGGTTGCACTTTAGACCTTTTAGCCTTAAGTGCATTTGAAGTGTAATTTTTCACTTCAGACTTATTAGCCTTAAGTGTAGGAAAACGTTTGTTGCACTTCAGACCTTTTGGCTTTAAGTATATCTGAAGTGTTATTTTTCACTTCTGACTTATTGGCCTTAAGTGCATGAAACCATTGGTTGCACTTCAGACCTATTTGGCCTTAAGTGCATCTGAAGTGCAATTTTTCACTTCAGATTTATTGGCCTTAAGTGTAGACAAATATTTAATGCACTTCAGACCTTTTAGCCTTAAGTGCATCTGAAGTGCAATTTTCCAGTTCAGACTTATTAGCCTTAAGTGCATGAAACCATTGGTTGCACTTCAGACCTATTTGGCCTTAAGTGCATCTAAAGTGTAATTTTTGCACTTTAGATTAATTTTTTTTTAACTTCAGACTTGATAAGTCTGAAGTTGATTGTACAGTGGGTAGGCTTGCAATTTATTTTTACAAAGTAGGTATAAGTTCAATTGTGATCCCAAAACTGGGTATAGATGCAAAACCACGATGAAAAGGTACAAGAATTTTGGGCTTGTGCCCACAACTTCGAATCCTCTCAAAGAGATGGGCTTATATGTTGAGTTGATAAGTCCTATTATTGGGTCTTCTCAAAGGGGAGTAAAAAGTTGAGCAACTTAAGGACCCATTTGGATAAAGATTCACAAATATTTTTTGGAAAAATTGATTTGGATAAAGTTTGATTTGAAAATAAAAATGTGTTTGGACATGAATTTTGGGGCAAGTTTTGGCATGTTAAAAAGTCTTTTTTTCAGCTAAAAAGTCTCAAATGGTCATGATTTTTCCCAAAAAGAGGTCTTAAGCTATATTTGGGATTTGAAATTTTGGTTTTCAAAATCTCCTAAAAACTAGATTAATTCTATAAACAAACACATAAAAATCGAAAAACAAAACTTCCACATTTGGTCGGTCGGCCAAAAAAACAAATGCCTACTTACACATTTGACCGGTCGGCCAAAAATAATTACTTACACTAGTCAAATATATCAAAAATATATATTATTTATGTATAAAATATATATTATATATACTAATAAATAAAAATTATATATTTTATCGGCTATTATTTTTGGGAGCAACTATTGTTATTAGATATTCTCACGTAATGTGTTAGTGCATCAGTTAAGCAACAACAACAACTATTGTTATTATGCCTCACTTTCAAACAAGTTGGAGTCAGGTATATGAATCAGTACGCACAATGTTACTCCATTTAAGCATTCAAATTCAAATTCAAATTCATATTCGTGTCATATAGTATAATCCATAGGATTCTGATCACCAGGAGTTTCTCCATTTAGAATTAAGCGCCGTCCATTGTTCTCTAATTGATGGCACCCTTTGCCTGCTTGTTCAAAATTTATTGAAAACTAGTGAAGTTGCCCGCGTTTCGCGCCGGCATAAAAGATATCATCCGTGAATTTATAACATAATGTTTTTGAAAATTTATTTATACGATTCCGTAAGGAAAGCTCTTCTCGTTCATTAATTATTTCACTTTCTTGGGTTGAATGAGAGTTTTGTATTAATTATGAGGGAAGCCCCAGCAAAAGAGATACGATTACGCTGTAAAGGAGCAAAAAAGGCCCTCCAAAAGCTTCATGAGATGTTTCTTTATCTGACCTAACATTTCACTGAATATTTCGATAACCAATTTAAACATTGTGATTTTTTTTTCTTGAAACAGTAGAAGTAATACGGGTAGACCATGTTGTAGCATAAGTCTATGTATATAGTAGATACTTTACCCCTTCAAATTTCATATTCTGAAGGGTTAATGAAAAATCACAAATAATCATGATACATCAACAATGCTTCTCACTGCACGGAAAAAAAGATAAGAAAAGAACAATCTAAATTTTCGGATACAATTTGACAAAGCTAAAATATTATTTCCGTAGTTACATTTTGTTCATGCACAAAGAAAAATCAGCATAACTTGTGTTACGCAGATTCAACATTCCTTATATTTACTTTTGAAGGAATTAGTTAGGCATTTGACAAATTTGAATTAGGAATAGAATTCGTAACATTCAAATCCAAAACTAATGATCGTGTAACCTATAGCCACGTGTATTTGCTGAGAAGATAATTGAAACTTACCTTGATGAGAGCAAACCCTTTTGTTGCTAGTTCAAAAATAAAAAAAACTTGTTTAGTACATAAAAAGAATTATAGCAAAATATGAAAAGAAAATTTAAGAGATAAATAAGGACACAAAAGATTGGAATATTTCTTCACTTAATAATTCTAAACTGGAAATATGAAATGAAACAACAATATAATGACATGTAATAGTCATAGAAACCTATCAGATATAGGAATGGCTAGTCGAAACTTGAAAAGCGGCTCCACCTTGATAATAATCCTCCACAGAAATGGTTGTCCCAATTAATGTTGTTACATGAAAGCCAGGAATTTAGCGATGCAAGATTAATAAGGATTGCATTTGAGTCGAAGGGTTAGTGTAATATCGGTTACAAAAAGACATTTAATGTGATCTGCCGTTTCAATTTTCATATAATTTTATAAGTGGTGAGTTTTTTCAATTATCAGATTAATTGTACAAATTTATTACTTTCAAATAGATGGAAAAAATAGAGTATTTGATAGGAAAAGTAAGAGAAATGATAAAAATGGGAGAAAATAGATAAATAGGATCTTTGGCCAAAGAGATGCGTCACCTCATCTCTTATTATCTCTACTTTATATATACATATATAGATGTTTTTCTTTTTCTTTTTTTCTTGACAATGCAATACACTGGTAAAAGCTCTACGATTTCCTGTCAAAAAGTTCCTAAGTTTTTTTTTAAACCCAAAATCTAATAGCATATTTTATCACTTGAACTTCTTTTGCTTATAGATTTTTCAACTTTTGCCACTTTAAATTTATCGCGGCATAATACATAAACATGTCTTCAAACTTGGCCTCAACTGGTAAATATGCCATCAAACTTTGGGTGCGCACAAGCAGGCACCTCATTTTGTCTCCACTTTGTTAGTTGAACACTCCAACTTACAAAATGATCATCTAGACACCTCCAAAATTTATGTGACGCGTCAGCATTTGTGTTTACGTGTTCAACTTTATATAAGTTGAGGTGCCGACTTGTGCACATCCAAAGTTGGAAGACATACTTACCAGCAGAGGTCAAGTTTGAGGGTCTGTTTATGTATTATCCTATTTACTTCTTCTAATTTTTTTATTTTTTTTCATATGTTCTTCCCTTGAAATAGTATCAAGCTAGACTTTGTAAACTAACAAATTTTACCCAAAAGTTCAATGCCTACCACATATTTAGGCAATTAATGATACCAAACTTCATTAGCGGCAGGTGAAGTCACAAACTCGAAATTACCACACATATATTGTATTAACACCACAAGCCTAAGTGACATTTAAGTTAAGAAAAGAATGATTACTCTACTGGGACTACCTGTCCAGTGTTAGAACAATTTTGTTTTTTTTTTTTCCTTTTTTTTTGTTTGTCTTGAGCTGTAAATTTTCTACTTGGTAATAAAAATTTAATTACCAAAAAAAGAAAAGAATGATTACTCTATTTGCTTAAACTTGTTCAATCATCAACCACTAGAAAGCATAGTAACCCCTCCCCCTCCACACATTCCTCGATAAATATATTACGACGACAACAACAATAACAAAAAAAAACCAAGTGTAATCCCTCCCCTCCACACATTCCTCAATAAATATGATCATCAGAATAAAAAATAAATAAATATGACCATAATAATGGTCTTCATAATAGAAAAGGTAAATTATATCCTTAACGTTCATTCTTTAATCCAAAAAGTAGATCGCATAATTTATTGCATCCTATACGCGTTATTGAATTGGAGCAAGTGGAATACAACAAATGCGGACATGCCTCATTTACTTATTGACTTTCAAAAAGAACCAAAATGCCCCATGTGTATTTTGGAGTTGTTTGTTGGTGGTTGCTCACTGAGGTTAACTATAGTCAGTGGTTGCACTTTAAAGATCAATGTGATGTTCTTTGTCACAATAAATTAGTGAAGTCATCCTCTCTTTTGTTGGGTAAAATAGACTAAAATTACTCTTTAATATGGTGTAATATTGTCCGTTTTGGATCAAGTTTATACGATTTTTTTCAAAATGTCTCGTACAAGAGTATCTAACTTCTTATAAGTAGAATCTTTTTCCTTTTTACTTCCCATATGGGGCTTTGTTGACACACACCCAAAAAAAATTCCAGGTTAATTAGGAGATTAATCGTGTACCACCACATGATCTTGAGTATTTACGGTTACCAAAGTCCAAAGGTTGTGTATGCGTCTTCAAAGCTACGAGTAAAGGTCGTAAACTCCGTAGACGGGCAAAGGCACTGAGCCGGACCCCCAAGCCGCACCCCGCCACATTCATAGTCCCACTAAATCATTGGCTCTTATTGGACTAAAATAGCTTAAAGATACTCTTAATATTGTGTGATATTATCAGCTTTTAGCCAACTCCGCACGGTTTTTCCAAAAAGGCTCACACCATTAAGAGTATTCAACTTCTTATAAGTAAAATCTTTTTTCTTTCTACTTTTCATGTGCATGGGACTTTGTTCACGTACACCCAACATCTTTTTCTTTTTTCTCTCTTTGGACCATTTTTAAGGGGATATTTTCATGTATTGCCTATAAAAATAATTATATTGAGTAAGAAGAAAAGTCAAATTCAGCTAGCTGAGTATCTTGTCCATGAGGGTGTTTGTGGAGTTGAAAGTAAAGCACTTGCTTAAACCAGGAACACTCCTAATTATAACTTCTAACAAGTGAGATACAACAAATGTGGGCATGTCCATTGACTAATAGACTAGCAAAGAACCAAAATGCCCCATGCGTATGAGTTGTTTGTTGGTGGTTGCACGGAACCGAAGTCAGAATTTAAAATTTAATAATTTATGTATACTTTAATAATTTTTTAAAATAAATATAGAATTTGGACAAAAGTTACTGGGTTCAGTTGAACCCATATCCGAAGGTCTAGCTCCGCGCCGGTTGCTCACGGAGGTTCACTATAGTCAGTGGTTACGTTGCACTTTGGAGATCAACGTGCTGCATGTTCTTTATCTTAATAATTTAGTGAAACCATATCCTCTTTCTCTCAACTAACTGAGTTTGTAAAGTTTGATTGATATCCTAAAACCCAATTTCAAACCATAACTTTAAAATTCAAACTTTTCGATCAAAATAAAAAGAGACAGTTCAAGAATGCAAAGAAGTAACAACAAAACAAAGAACAGAGAAAAGGAGTAAAATAGATAGCTAATTCACCAGAAAGAGGGAGAAAGAGAAAGCTATCATGAAGGAGATGGAGAGAGAACAGAGAATATGAAAATCTGCTCAAATGGGAGAGAAGCAGCAAAAAAATGTAAACCTAAGTGTATTTACAATTTGACACGTACCCTGATGGAATGTTTTCAATTTAAATTACGAAAATACCCTCTGAACTTTCACTTATTATATAGGTAAACAATGGTGTTTGTGGAGTTGAATAGTGTTAGGAGATATAATAATGTAGAGAATTGAATTAGCTACGACGTGAATACATTATCTTAATGATATTTCGGCGAACATATTCCTCAGGATTCAACAATTCAGTTTTTTTATGATCTTAATGTTCGAATCAGTTTACGCATAGTTCAACTATTCCATAAGGTATCAGAAAACACTGCAACCAAGCTTAGAAGAGATGGTCCAAAATACCATGAATATATAGGCTCATGTTGTACTGGCTAGTTTGACAAATTTAATATTATACCGGTATGTTTCAAGGCAGAGGCGGATCTAGAAATTGAAGTGTATGGGTTCCTACCGTAATTTTAAGTTAATATATTACAATAACCGAATTAAGAAACGAGTATCAATATCCAACATATATCTAGAAAATAACAAAACACTTAAAGACAACATATGAATATAAACATTATCATTACAATTGTACTCGACGACTTGTCATGTTTTGAAAACGATCAATAATCGCATCATTAGGTACACTTTCAAATACTTCTTCCTCTATATAACAAACTAAACAATCATTAAAAAATTCATCACCAATTCTGTTTAGCAAGTCATTTTTAACGTACTTCATCGAAGAAAAAGCTCTTTCTACCGTTGCAGTAGCGATAGGCAATATCAGACTTAACTTCACAAGCAAATAAACAAGTCTCCAAGTCATGTGCAAATTTGTTTTAACCAATGTCTTTGAAAAATCTCCAAGTCTTTTTAAGTTAGAGAATTCATTGCCCGCCTCTCATACATAGTCAATATAGATGTCAAGCTCAAAACTAAGATCCTCAAGCATAGAATCAGTGAACTCATTCGGGTAGTGTGTAGCAAGTTTCATAATCTTGTCTTTATCATAATTTGCAAAAGAATTATCTGGACTCAAACTAGCCATACCAAGAAGTAGATCAGTATTCACTTCATTGAAACGATTGTTAAGCTCCGAAAGTTGCAAATCAATAATAGCATAGAAAACCTCTACACGCAAATGATAAGAATATGTAACACTTGATTTCTTACGCTTTGACTTTCCACGAACATAATTCATATCCATTTCGGGGATCATAATACCATGCTTGACAAAAAATAAAAAGACGTCTCTTATCAAAGAATTCCATCTAGAATCTCTCATATCTTGCAATTGTCTCTTTGCGAAACCAACAAGCTTCATTGCACTTACAATATCTTGATCTTTTTTTTGCAAAGCCATATTTAAATCATATGTAAGTGCCAATACTTTCAACATTAAATGTAACATATACACAAAGTCATAGGATCTTATGCTAAAGGAGTATCATTCATAATCAAAGTTTTAAGACCATTAATTTCTCCCTGCATATTACTAGCTCCATCATAACCTTGTCCCCGTATTTGAGATTTACTCAATGAATGTTCCAAAAGCAAAGAATAAATTGCTTCTTTTAATGACTTTGCAGATATATCTTTAACATGAACAATGCTAAGGAATCGCTCAATAACTTTACCCTCTTTGTTGACATAACGTAAAATAAGTGTCATTTGTTCCTTATGAGAGACATCCTTAGACTCATCAACCAATATCCCAAAGTAATCCCCGTTCAAGTCTTCAACAATTGTTTTCAATATTTCTTTCGCACAAGAACTCACAATATCTTTTTGTATATTTGGACAAATCATAATGTCATTTTTTGGAGCATTTTCTAACACAACTTTCTTTACATCATCCTTCTTATTTGCATACCACTTTAAGAGATCCAAGAAGTTGCCTCTTCTTATAGAAGTTTCACGTTCATCGTGACCCCGAAAAGACATTCCTTCTTTCAAAAGATACCTTGCATCATCAATTGAGGCATTCAGGCGAACCCGATACTCACTTTTCGTTTTCTCGGATTGCTTATCAAAAGATGTTAAAATAGATTGTGCTTGATTCGATAAATCTAGCATCATCTTGAAACACCGATTATGAACACTATTCACTTCACCCACATGTGCGTTAAACCTCTCTATACCTTTATTCCAAGCCTTAAAACCAACTTTTGTAAAAGAATCACTTACTTTTTTTTCATATCCTCCTATCTCATTTTTAAACAAATAATAATATAAGCAAAATGATGCATCTTCTAGAATGTAATGTCTTCTCACCCGGTCACGCAGATTAGGAGGAAATTCTGAAATTTATTTTCTTTCACCAGGATCAGGTTTAAGAAGATTCTGATCCAATATAATATCTTTGTGTGATGGTTGGGAAGAACTGACATTATAATTAATCACTAGACAAGAAGGAGAGCTTAGTGAAGGAGAACTAGAAGTAGAACCTGAAGAGGTTTGTGCCTTGAAAAATCTCTTGATCATATCGAGTCTCACTAAAATGCCCTACAAATCATAAGACACAAATTAAATATTACAGATGAATATAAGAGGAAAATAGTTAAGAAATATTATTTTATATAATATAATATAAGAGGAAAATAGTTATAAAAAAAAGATGAAGGAATGAGAGGACCTACAATGGATCACTGCTTGTCTTTGATAGGCAACAGAAGAAAAGTCAAGATTGAAGAAGAACGAAAGTCGAAGAACCAGTGGCTTGCAAGATTGAAGAAGAACGAAACCCTAACTCTTTTTTTGTTTTGGGGACAATTTGATGTGGTTGTTTCTTTTTAGGTTCACTTTTTGTTTTTGTCTGTTTAATAAAAAGAACTTATGGGGACTCGAACTTGCATCACCAAGAAGGGAAGCGGACCACATCTAGGTTCCAAGATTTACCATTGGACCAGAAATGCATTTTGGAACTGGGTTCCCATATAATTATTGTTATATATTCAATAAATTTCTTAATACAAATATATGATCTACACAAAAGCTACTGGATTCCCGGGAACCCATACATAATACTGTATGTCTGCCCCTGTTTCAAGGTAAGGCAAATAAACTATTTCTCCGACAATTAGTTATTGGTACCTAACTTATCAAAACGAATGATGCCTAACCCAATTAATTAATAAGATTTATAAGACCCCAATCTATAACTTCTAACAAGTGAGATATGATGTGATAATGTGAACTTCCAACTGCATTAGAATCATTGGCTTCTTTTCTCCCACAAATGGACCCACATCTCTTCAAAAAAAATTGACTTCTTTGTGAAATGCAGAAGAGATCGTCAAACAAGTCAACCTCATCCACTATCATTAGTCCATTACTCAAGGAAGTCATTATCAACTCGAGTATTGTCTTCCAACTACTTTATCGCCTACTTTGATTTTACGTTTTTGTGAATTATATATACTAATTATCTCGGAACTAAAACTACCTCTTTTTTGGATCCACCTTATATGAATAATACAGACTCCTCCCGTGGGAGGAGAATGAGTATGTTTGGGTGCAAGTTGGTTCGAACATTCAATGGCAGTTTACGTTTTTAAGTACTATCTATGAATACATAACACAATTTGGCCAAAGCCAATGGGTGCTTTAGCACTTGTACCTCAAAACGTAAATCTGCCACTGAATGTTCGGACCAACTTGCACGCGCATCAAATAGTTCACTGAAAACTGCTAATTTTCATCAGCACAAATACTAAATAATTACAATTATCCATCAAGATTTAGACAGACAAGAAACACCAACATATGTAGTCTTCTTTCCATTAACAGCATATTAGTTGTTTCTCCACTTCAAATGGAATGTTTGAAGTGTAAAGATATTTACATGAAAATGTACAAAAGGAAGCTTAAAGCACTTAATGAATCATACAAGAAAAGGAAAGAACATTTTGCAGAAGCGTGCAAGTATTGCTCATAAGAGAAAGGGTTTAATCATAGTCATTTCATGATCATGTTACACCATTAGTCCACAGTTATAAGCACCGTCCACGCCAATATCTTGCTTCACCTCAAGTTTTATCCCTTCAAAACTAAGCTAATCCCTATACAGAAACTGTCACATAAGTCTATTGCCTTTACAAAGAGGCATTCACCATAATCCTAGTTCAAGAATCAGTCGATTTGTGGGGTTCAAAGAGTGTCATCATCTGTGTTTTTAGCCACGACGAATGCCCAAGAAGTAGTTAAAGTCATGGTGTTGGACCCCCAATTGCTTTAGCCATGAATCGGCCACGCTTAATAGTGACACCAGCCTCTCTTGGTCCCTTCCACTCCTGTCCGAAATCCACACATTACCCTGCATCTTGTAAGTTGCCAAACCGAAAGGTGAAAGAGGGATCGTTTCCCCTTCGTCTAGTTTCCTAATACCTTTTTCCATGTTATCTTCAAGGTCCATATCTGCACAAATCCAACAGTATAGTATAAGAATCTTCTGCATATCATCGATCAAGTAACATAGGCAACCAAATTTCAGTTGTTCGTCGGACAAAATGATACCACAAAATGAACAATACCTTGAAAAGAAGAAGAAAGGGTGTGGAATGTGAGAAAGCAAGTAGACAAGTCCTTAATGGTTTTCCCCATGGGAATGTGATAGATAGGGTACCTATATTTTTCATATCAATAAAGTTAGTGACACAATCTTTCCCTGATTCCATCTTTCATTATTTCTGGTTGCAAAGAGAGAAGCTCGTCAGCAATAATTAATTGTAAGAAAATTAAGCATCATAACATAAATGAGGTGTATTAAGTAGGATTTGTTACAGGATAAACAAGATCCCGTTGAACATCAATGAAGGTGCAAATATAATTATGTCACCAAATATAACGATTTCGATTGGAAAAAGTTTTTATACATTGAAATCATCTAAATTTGGTAAAATATACTCAAAAAGAATCATCAGTTTCATGATTATAAGTGCGCGGAGAGACAGAGATAGAAAGAGTTGATATACCAAGCAACTGACATCCAACTAGCCGGTGAAAGATCTACACTTCGCAATGACATTAATCCAGGGTGTCTTTCAGCTAAGCTACTAATCTGAAAGCAAAATGAATAGTTAGATACACATAGAATACAAAATAAAGCATCATAATCTTAAGATATTCAAACTACAGTTTCCCTTACATAGAACAAATGCCTAATTATAACAGAGTTACACAAGTAAAGAGGCAAGTAATTGCCATAATTAAGGAGCTCTGAGAGAATCGAATCAAGATGATACAATATTTGTAGCATCAAATGGTTATAGATAAGAAATCGCACAAAAAAGGAGTGTATATTTGTATAATTCTGTCATAGCCATTACCATTTTTTATTCAATCATAATGCTCAAAGAAGAAAACAAGAAACAGTTGAACCTGAAATAGAGCACAAATCAATGTACAACTTATATGCTTCTACCACACATGAATCACTGGCCAATAGCATAAATTATACAACGACAACAACAACGAACAACCCACTGGAATCCCACAAATGAGGTCTGGGAGGGTAATCTGTACGCAACCCTTACTTCTACCTTACGAAGCTGGAGAGGTTATTTCCGATAGACCCTCGGCTCAAAAACAGTAAAAAGTACACAATAACCAATTAATAACAACAAAAAATGTGAAGCAGAGGAATAGGAATGGAAACCATGGGCATAGTCTATAACTATAGCTTTTCTTTGTGCAAAAGAATGGCAAGAATTGGGAGACAAATTACCTTATCCATCAGAGGTACTCTTCCATATGGAGAAGATCTCTCAAAGTATTGATAATAAAGGTAACCCAATCTGTCATTCATTTGCAAGTTGCTATCTTGATCAAATAAGCCTTCCTCTGAGGAACAACCATCCCATCTTGATAGCTTCTCACTCTCACTCTCATCACTCAATGAATCACTAAAAGAATCCCTTGTCTCCCAAACAGACTCATTCTCCTCCCTATAAAAAAACATAAAACAAGTTTTAACTTCAAGAAAAGGCTTTATACCACAAGAAATGTGCTTTTCAACTAGGCTGTCTTTCAACTATGTTGCTCGGACTCTTCAAAATTGCTACTGCACCCATAAAAATCTGAATTTCTTTTGTAAAGAAAGGGACCAATAAGTCAAACCAGACTCATTCTCCTCCCTAAAAGAAATTATAAACATCTCACCATTTTAACTTCAAGAAAAGGCTTTATACCACAAGAAATGTGTTTTTCGACTATGTTGCTCGAACTCTCCAAAATTGCTACTGCACCCATTCGGATCCTCCAAAAATGCACTACTTTTGAGAACTCAACAAGCATCCAACGGTATTTTTGAGGAGTCCGAGCAACATAGTTTTTCAGTTATAAGAATCTGAATTTCTTTTGTAAAGAATAGGACCAATAAGTTAGAAAGTCAAGCCAAACCATGAACTATGATCAATTTGAGATAACCTAAGAATATAATGTAACATACAAAATGGTACCTTAAAATGCTTACAGATGAACTGCTGGTGAAAATTTGAATAGCTGAAAGATAAGGCACATAATATTGGACTAAAGTTTCACCACTATCTAATTTAATAGGAACTCCAGCACCATAAGCACTCCATTCATCATAACAATTCCATAAATCAGCCAATGTAAAGTATTCAATCTCTTCCTTTTCTTTAGGATGCCAAAGCCTATTAAGGTTTCTCATCTCACTCTGCAAATAATGACACAAACAAAATCATATCATACAAAATTCCAAATGCTCGTCCATTTAAAAAAAGGAACCAAATAAATGTACAAAAACAAACCTTGGCAAGAAACTGAGATGGTACTAATGGTGTAGTGCAATTCAAGAAAGAATCAAGATTTGATTGCATTGATCCTTTATCAATAGTCATGATTATTTAATAAAAATGAAAATGAAAAAAGCACAGAGAGAGAAAGAGAAATGAAACTGTTTTCTCTCTTCTAACTCTGTGAAATTGTGAATACAAGGATACCCCACAAAGGAAAACAAAGACAAAACAGAGGAAGAAAGCAAATTATTATATAGAGAGAGGAAGAGACTATAACAGGATTTTATTACCCTTTATATGTCAATGAGAAAAAAAAAA